GCCTCGTTAGCTGGTGGTGGAGCCCGGCGTGGCCTGGCAGCTCGCCTCGTTAGCTGGTGGTGGAGCCCGGCGTGGCCTGGCAGCTAGCCTCGTTAGCTGGTGGTGGAGCCTGGCGTGGCCTGGCAGCTAGCCTCGTTAGCTGGTGGTGGAGCCTGGCGTGGTCTGGCAGCTCGCCTCATTAGCTGGTGGTGGAACCCGGCGTGGCCTGGCAGCTAGCCTCGTTAGATGGTGGTGGAGCCTGGCGTGGCCTGGCAGCTAGCCTCGTTAGCTTAATTTAACAAGTCGTCAGTTGCGGTAAACCCATCAGCAAAAAAACTGGAGCAGACGGCTGTTCCAATTCGAAGTGTTTGAAGTACACTTCGAATTGGTGGCGTGGCGGTGACGTAATCACACTTAAAATGCGTACTTCAAACGTGCAGACCCTGAATTGGGACACAGCTCTCAATTCAGCACGGGAAGGGAGGGGGTGAGTGAGTCCTGAGTGATTCGCTTACGCTAAGATTCACACAGGAAAGGAGGGGCTGAGTAGCTCAAATGTGCTGTTAGCATGTTAGCAGAGCGATGCGACTGTGAACAGAGGAGCTATTGCCTTTATGTGAGCTTCTACTCAGGGTTTTTTCTTCCACTTCAGAGCAGAAATATTTTTGTTAAGATACTGGATGTTGTGTTTTTCTCCACAATTTTAATTATAAGCTAGATATATTTCTACTAATAAAATTAGTTTGCTAACAGCAACAGGGATGAGTCAGTGAGTCAGTTGGGCATGTGAAACATGATTCACGAGTCAGTAAAGTGATTCTCGAGTATTGAACGATTCGTTCATGATTCGCGCATAACTATTTTGAACAACACCATGGGAATTTCAGATTTCACACAGGTGGTTGGATGTTACACTCTGGAAATGGAATGATGGTGAGTGTTATTAACCCTCTGTGGTCCACGGACACGCTGCACCTCCAAATCACATGACTGATTTAAGCAGACACAGCAACAAGCTGCAGCCACGCTGAGTCTTTATTTCAGCCCATATTGAAAGTTTTTAAAGTTTAACTACAGCCCAGTAAATCCAGAGTTATGATAATATATATAAGCCCCCTTTTTTTCTGTGTGTATGTGGTTTTTGTTAAAGTGTTTTCTAAGGACAGCGCAAAAACAGTAAAGAAAGAAAAAAAAGCCACCTCTTTCGTATCGGTGGAAAAATGTACCATGTCGACCAATTTAAAAAAAAGTCAACAGGTGGGATTTGGTTGTTTAGGAAGAGGGAAAAGTTTTGGGAGTGACAGTAATGGCAGCGAGACAGAGCGAGAGACAGAGAATTTAGATGTGGGAGATTTGTGACATTTAGCGTGGAGTGTATAGTTAGTGTGTTGTGTTGTCTTGTGTAGTTGTTCTGTTGTGTAGTTGTTGTTTTGTTTTGTGTGTCAGTGAGGGCACTAATGAATGTCACAAAGGCATATTGCATTGTAAACACTGTAGAAACCAGCGGAGTGATACACCTCCTGTTGTCAGGCCTGCAGGTTTATCCCTGTGCTGTTCTCCTCTGTCTTCTGGTGGAAAAACATTTTTTTACTGACACACATAATTTGCGACACCTGCTTGTTCTCTCATTTTAATTTTAGTAATATTTTTAAATGGTTGTACAAAATGAAAAAAAAAAAAACAAAAACGGCAGGTGTATTGACTGCATTTTTAGATAAATAGTTGTATATGTTTATAAAATGTACAATTTATATTTGCATTTGAAGTTATAAAAATTTGCTCAACATATCTGTGTTTTTTTTTACAGTAAAAAAATACTACTAGGATTTTAAGTTCTTTTTGTGATTTCAGATCAGTAATACTAATGCAGTATGTCAGTGAAAAAACAACTAAACTCAGTTGAGCTGAAAAGAATGATACCAAACAAGGCAAGGGGAAAAAATAAAATGAAACAATTTGAGGGTGAAATACAAATGTAAACTCAAAAGGAG